GCATCTTGTGCAGCAATTAACTACTAAGAAGTGTGTGTGCAGTGTGTTATTTGTTGAACCTGTACTTCCAATTTGATTTGAAACTGTCTCATTACTATCTGTTTATCAATAAAATTTTGAAAAAAAGAAAAAAAATGACAAATTAAAAAAAATTACTTCAAGCTATGTGTGATAACATAATTTAAAGTTCAAATATACACAAACTCGATTGTGTTTCTATAGACTGCCATATACATGCCGAGACTATCAGCAGTATTTATCATTTATCTCAACACATACATTGGTAAAATTTATGGGGAAATCTGGAAGTCCTAATCAGATGCCTCTGGACAATCTGCATGTTTGATTATATTTAAAAATTAACATGCTTGATGCTTCAAAATCTGCCAGTCTCTGGCTACCCACTGAAAGAAAAGGAAAAAAGGTTTTTTTTGTTTGTTTGTTTTTTTTAAAGTTTTACAAGGCAAAGAGTAATGTGCTTCAATCTTTGGGGCTCGGGGAAAGGAAGGATTTCAACGCATATTATGTTTCAGACATTTGCATCTAAATTTTCTTCTTGCATGAGAATTACTTTTAGTATCATTTCATTTTTGAATAGGCATTAGCTTTTCTGAGAAGTAACGTAGAAATTAAGAATACAGATTCTGAAACCAAATATCTGCACTCACAACCGAAGTTCTCCCATGTATTGCACGACCTTATGCACATTACTAAGCTGTCTTGCCTTACTGTCAACGTTTTTGTGTGTGTTTGTTTGTTTTTGTTTTTTTGGTGGAACCAGGGAACTGTCAACCTTTTTATAACAGAGTGAACCATTGTGTAAAAGGCCAACCAGTGAATATTTCAATTCTGTGGGTCACACACTGTCTCTGATGCTTTTTTTACTTAATGCAATCCTTTAAACAAGTAAAGTACTACTTCTATGGCCATACAAAAAAAGTTAGTTTGCTGACATTAATAATAGAGATAATAACAGCATTTACCTCCCAGGATTTATAGGATGATTTAATGAACTTATGTATTTATAAAGTATAGGCATGGATATAAAACCTATAAAAATGTTTTTCATCATTATTGTATTTGAACATTTCATTTGCAAAACACTATTCCTGGATGAATTCTTGAGTTATTCGATGACTTGAAATGTGAAGACTTAAGTTTTCCTTCCTGGTTTGTTGTAAATTACAAGCAAACAACCCTGAACACAGTATGTTGATGAGGCTGCTCAATGCGGCACTAAAATCCAGTGATCAGAAGTCAGTAGCAGTCCTCTGCAACCTAAGCAGGAGCAGCCATGCTGAGAAAGATTCCCTAGAAACATGTAAGAACTAAATTAACTGAAACATGTATTAGACATATAATCATTTCTCAATTACATTATTTCTCATTAGCCAAAGAAGTATACAGGCACATTCAGGTGAATTTCTACTCCCCAAAATTTATTTTTTCAATTAAGAAATAAGAGATAATAATCATTTAATTCAGATGATAAGAACAATGGTAGTTTAAAGTAAGATCATTATATATTGTTCTATGGTATAAACATACCATAGTTATGAATTAGCCATGTACTGTAGTGGTCTGCATTGGCTGGCAAGTTAGCTGATACTGGATCACTGGATCACTGTGAACAATTTTAATTAGCCAAATATCAACATTCACAGGGTGAAATCCTAACCCCCATGTAACAGCAGGAGGTGGGGTCTTTGGTAGGTAGTAATCAGGTTATGAGTGGAGCCATGGGAAGGATTGATAGGATGAACTGCCCTAAAACAGGTGCCCAGAGTACTCTTACCATTTATTCACCTCACAAGGAGAAAGTAAGAAAATGGCCCTTCACAGCCTGCAACAGTTCTCATTAGAATTCCATGATGCTGTTATCCTGATGTCAGACTTAAAGAACTATAGGAGACAAACTTCCAAACTCACCCTGTCTATGGTACTGTTACAGCAGCCTGAATTAAGACAATTATTTTCAAGAATAACTGCATACATTTATGGAATCACAATCGATACTAGTGGGCCAAAATTCTGAAGAAAGAAAAACTTCTTAAACTTAGGAGACTGGGCTGGTGACACAGCTCAGTGGCACAGTACCTAGTAAGTGCCTGGTAAGTGTGAGGTCCTGAGTTCGATTCCCAGCTCCAACAGATAATAATGATTAGGAGACAAACCATAATTTTTACAGATAGCCCATAAATGAAAAAATAAATAAAACTACCACCATTTGTTGGTAGCATAGAGTACAGCCATGCACAAATATTCAAATGCAAAACATGTAAGAGTTGGACATTTTATAGATTTTATGTTCAAATGTACAGGCTAATGAATTAAACTTTATAACAGTGAGGTCTAAACATGACAAAATATTTGCTTCATTTTTAATAAGACATTTTAATTACATACTATCCTAAATACAAATGAAACAATGTTTTCACATACATCATGATTTCCTACAATTATATTGCTATTTCTATAGAATCTTTATGCGAAAATTATAGAAGTAGTTATTTATAATAAGCTAGAGGTCAGAAAAAGAGAAGTCAGTATACTCTTCTTAAATACTTGCATTTGTGTGCTACTCATTAACTTAGTACCAAAAGAGCTTTAAGAATTACTGTCAACAGGGCTGGGGAGACAGCTCAGTAAAATAAGCACCTGCCTGGTAGGCACAAGGTCCTCAGTTCAATCATTGGTACCACAAAAGAAAAAAAAAAAAAGAATTATTGTTGACAATCAAACTTTAGGAGATGGTTTTAGTGAAAAGTCACTTGGGCTGGACCAGTAAGGGGGATGCTGCGACCCCAGTCCTTTTCCTTCTCCTCTTTGCCTAGCATCAGATGAGCAGCTTAGCACACACTGTGCTCCCACCGCCTGAGAGCCCAGAGCAATGGGGCCAAGCGATGAAACCCGACAGACACCGCAGCCAAAGTAAATCTTCTCGACAGGTGATCATCTCAGGCCCCCCCCTTTTTTTTTTACAGTAACAAATGCTGAACAACAGAGACATTTTAAAGGAAAAAACAAGAAGGAAGTTATTTATGAAAGTCAAACATAATTCACTTTTATTAACTCACTCAGAAGATGCAATGTTTTCATTCACTTAATGATGTAAAATTATTTATTAATTTTTAAAAAATTTAACATTTCAAAAAAAATTTTAAAGAGTACAAAATAGTATTAAAAACAGCAAAAATTACAAATGATACAGAATTTCACTGAACAAAATACTATGGATTCTACAATATTTATTGTACTGCATAGTGCTGTCTTCAAATTAGTTGTTCAGATTACCAGACATATGCATGCAAAATCAGAAGAAAAAAGTTATGAGAAATTAAGAAGAGAAAAAGAAAAAAGAAAAGACAAAAAAGCATTAACTGCTCCTTTCCACAGACCAGCAGAAATCCATAGTATAGTTCTCCAAACCATCCTGCTTACATACATAGATATATCTCTTTCCCTACTCCCTCTCCTGTCCTCATCTCAGCAATTCCTTCCTTTCAGACAGGTTCGGTCTCTTCCCAGTATCTACTGTACCCTTCAGATTTAATTCTCTTTCAGGTTCTTATACTAGTGAGACAATATGATGTTTGCACATGCAGGTCTGATTTATCAATGAAATAAAATTATGTACCATGTATGAAAAGGTTCTCAAATTCTCCCTCAGTGTATTTTAAGCTCTGAAGTTCAGGAATATCTTACCTTGCATAACTAGTGCCTATGACTATGCCTGAATAGTGGGTATGGGAGTGTTCAATATGCAGTGAATAAATTCAGTTTACTTTAATTTTAGGCCATGCATACACGCTAGATAGTAAAACACCAAATACCATTAATAGCATTATTCTTTTTAGTATAAATAAAGCACACTAATCAGTACATTGTATTTTTTTGTTTTATTGATAATGACACAGTAAAATTTTAATACATATTAAAATACATACGTCACCTATGCTCACATATTTTTTCACAAGTATAATTCATACCAAAAAGTAGTACCATAAACTAAAATTTTAAAACAATTAAAAAATAAAATTACATTAAATATGGTACAAATCATGATGGAAAATTGAAATGGCTTGTAACACTTTTTAAACAGTCTAATTACAATCAAATATAAACTTTTACCAAGAAATTGTTATATTTATGGTGTCCTGAGGGAAGATTTAGTTTTCATATAATTAATAACCAGATTACTATGGCTGATGCCTGTTTTTAAAAAGCTCACTTGAATCCATAAATGCAAGCAGAGTGTCATATTCGTGGGTACATACACATCTATTCAGTTTGCCTTTGATATATTCATTCAATTCAAAACTGCTGATATTCCCAGATGCTATCTTTTCATGTCTTCGCACCTTGGATCTGATCTAATAATGAAATCAAACAAACAATGTCAATCTCTAGACAAGAAAAACAAAAAAACCAAACAAAAACAACTTACTTTCTAAAGTAATCTAAAGCAATCATCCAGAATCCAAAAAAAAAAGCTGGCACAGATTCAGGGAAAACGAGCTCTCCACTCTTGGTGCAAATGTAACGCACGTCAGAATGGAGGGTCCTCACAAAGCTAACACCCAAGCTTCCTCCGGTCTTGCTATTCCACTCCTCAGTACAATATATTCCTGAAAGAAGCACAGCCAACACACCATAGAGACACCTGCATAGCCACGTGTAAGCACAATTTACAGCACGACTCATGACAGCTAAGATATGAAAGAACACAGGGGTCCGTCAGCAGACGAGTGAGGAAAACGTGACCTATGAAATTTCACCCATAAAGAAGCTAAAATCAGTTCACTCCATTCCTTTCATTTGAAGGTGAATTTATGGAACTGTAGAGAGCACTATGTTAATTGAAATAAATCAATCTCTGCAAAAGGAAGCAGCATGTTATTTCTCACCTGAGGAATTTAGGAAAAAAAATTTTAAATACGACATAGAAGTAAAAGACTATTACAGAAGAGACAGGTGGTTGGGGGTGGGAAAAGATCAAAGTATGTTCATATGGAAAGGGAGAGCTAATGGGGAGGGCGATATAATCAAACTGCGATATGTGGAATGTGCCAAAATGAAATCCACTGCTCTGTGTAATACACACAAATAAGATAATCCAACACACATCTATGTAATCTTACACATCCATCTGTTTTTCTTAAAGTACAATTTATGCTAGTTTTTATTTTTATCAAGGTTATAAAGAATCAACTATTTCTATAGGATTTGTATGAAAAATAATTGTAACTTGCTTCAACTCTCATCCTATTTCAGAAGCAACTACTTCCAAATCCCTTTTCAATGATTACTTATATCTCTAAATATACTTTTTTTTTTTTCCAGTACCAGGGATTGAACTCAGACCCTTGCGCTTGCCAAGGAAGCACTTATCACACTGAGCCATCTCCCTGGCCCTTCTAAATGTATGTTTACATTATTTCTGTAAATATCAGTAATGTAAAGCCTTAGTTTTCATATTCTCATGCAGACATATGTAATCTTCATGACAACTCTAATATTCTTCTAACACAGTAATACAGCATTATCAACACGACTAAATATTATTTACAGGTGAGATAATTGGTACGTTCAGGTTACTTTTCTTTTTCCTCTATTATGCTTTTCCTAGAGGTAGTATTTGTCCCACCCACCCCTACCCAACCCATCCGCTTACTTTTTTAATGCAGTTAATACTTCCAAAATTTAAACTTTTGTTAGGCACATTACATAATCTATCATTTTCATCTTTTTAGAGAACTCTCCCCTAGTCTCAATAAAACTCTCAAACTACACCTGCTGTTCCCTAAGCCTACCAGTTCCACTTCTTTTTATCATACTAGGATCTCTGTGAACATCCTAGAGATTACTTCTCCCATTCTTTTACGCTGCCTTTCCTGTTTCATGGTCCCTTAAGTTTGTTCCCTTGATTCTGAATCATAATCTTCTTAGTAGCTACCTTAGTAAAAGGTATAGACTAAATTCTTGAGACTTTGAACAGGTGAAGATGTCTTTAGTATCACAATATACTGATACTGCCTAAAAGTAACTCCATTATATTTTCCACAGAATTTTCCATGTATTGCCTAATGATCTTAGTTTCCAAATTGTTTCTGTGGAGACATCTGTTATTATTCTATTTCCTTATCCTTGTATGTCCAGTGAAACAAGCCAGTTCCCAGCCAGAATCTGTTCCAGTCACTATGTGACTTCTAGTCCCCTCACCCTCACCCTCACTCCTGCTCCTCTCAGGCAGAGGCTCTAGATTACCTAAACTGAGCTGCACTTGCTGCAAGGGAAGAAGTGACAATGCTGCACTTCCCAGGTCCTACTTGTCCAGCTTCTCCTGGGAATATGGGCAGAGAGAAGGGAGGCGCCAGCACCCAGTGAGGCTCACTGCTAGGATGCCGCCTACATGTTACCGACTACTGCAGCCAGGTGAGTCTGCAGCCTGTCCAGTGCCTGGACAAGGGCAAGCAGCCCCAGCCCCAGCCCCACTGTGCACAAGCACTGAGCCTTCTGGCAGCTGGCAGAGACCTGGCTCACCTGTCTCCCATGTGGGACTACTAGGGCTCCATCAGGCCATGGTGCACAGCCTGAGGCAAGAGAGTTCAGGGCAACCCAGGGAGGCAAAGGGCAGTGGGCAGACAGACCTGCTGGTCTCATGTGGCTGGCTGCTTTCTGAGATGAGCGGGCTTGTTGTGGCATCTTCTACTGTCTTCAGAGTTGGATTTCACTAATGAAGCACCTTGGTGTGGGAATATTTTCACGCACTGCATTGGGCTCTCAAGGGGCCAAGCAACTACAAACTAATTATTCAGTTCTGTAGTCACTATTTGATCATTTGTTACTGTTTTGTTCTCTCTCAATTTCTTATTTGGATACTGGACCACATGACCCCCTACTTTCTTTTTTACACTTCTCTATTCTCTATCTCTTTAATTCTGACAAACTGTCTCTACCTTATGTTTTACCGATATTCTTATATTCCTTTTTTTTTTTTTTTTTGGCGGAACCGGGGATTGAACTCAGGTCTTGTGCTTGCCAAGGAGGCGCTTATTTCACCGAGCGATCTCCCCGGCCCGATATTCTTATAATCAAGGATTCATTTTCAGCTTGTTCCTTTTTAAGTCATATACTGGTTTTATTCTCGAAACACTATTTGCTCAACTCTTTGAGGACTTTCTGATGAGGTTTTTGAGATGCTTCCTTTCCATAATTCTACCTCTGGTAAGCACTTTTTTTGTGGCTGGCTCACCCACCCTGGGGGCCGGCTGGCGAGGCCTGTGGTGCTGGGGATCCAACTGCAGTCCCCAAACGTCCGCTTAAGCCTGCCTAAGCAGGCCCTTTATTAATTAATTAATTTTTATATTTTATTTTATTGAGAAACATATCAACGAGACATTTTCAAAGCTGATTAATAGGACATTTTCAATAATTAATACATTGTGCATTGTTATCTTCTCAGTGGTTATCCGTAATACAAGATGCAGACAGGATATCCTGTTCAAATACTATCAGTACAAATGTTTCTTCTCATTGAATTAAGTGAAAGTAGCTGTATATCTCTCCTAACTATTCTGTACATACAGATACAAAATGGTCCTTCCTTTGTATCCCTTTTGTTTAGTCCTGTCAGAGATGGGTATTCTATTGACCTCTAAATATTATAGGTGCGTGAATTCAGCAGAACAATCCAACACAGTCCAGCAGTCCACAATAGTAGTGGGTTATCCGCAGAAGTTGTTGACTAGAGCCTTTTACAGCTCAGCATTTTAATATGGCTTTACTTTATACAGCAGGCGCTTTAGACTGCTGAGCTATCTCGTCCACCCCTGTAACCACTTTTTTCATTTACATTAAAGTATTTTATTTCATGCTGTTTTCATTCTCAAATGTCTGGAGATCTTTTGTCATTTGCTCATAAGTATGAGTGAACATTTAAAAAGGCAGACTAGAATATGGAAATGCGTGCAAGGCTCGTCAAATGTGGCCATCATTTCGATGTGTCTGGCTAAACCAAGTCTTTTGTAACGCTCAGTGCTAACACCTTGATGGGTTTTTTGCTGTTTGCCTAGTCTGATTCCTCACAGGTAACTGTGTTCTGCCTCCCTCAAGTGTTTTCTGGGAGAAGCAGGATAAAACAGAACAGAATTATAACATTCCACATAGAGGTTTTCAGTCACGCTTCATTTTCAGTTTAGCAGTTGCACACAAAGTTGTGCCTGATTTTTTATTCCAGTCAAAAGATATTTTCTTTGCCTTTTTGCCAAGAATAAGACTTCAGACCTTTGTGGAAAAGATGTAAAACTTGTCGTTTCAGCTAACACCTTCAACCTGACGCTCAACTTCTACCAGTTTCTGAGCCTTTGAGAGAACCTGCAAAGTCAGTTGGGCTGCCTTCTAGCTCTCCCCACTGCGGGCACAGAAGTCGTCAGAGAGCCAGATTCTACCACTTGGCTACAGTTCTCACCCTTTCATTTCTTTTGCTCATGTACATTAATGTCTATTTTAAAAAGTCTTTTGTGGCTTAGGAAGGGATGAAACTAAGCATTTATGTTCAGTCATCTACCTTTTGTTGGAATGTTCATATGCACAGTTTATAAAAATCTAGTATTAAAATCTGAAAGTGGGCCGCGAGGACTGCTGAGTGGGAAATGACGCATCTATAAGCTTGTGTGAGGTCCTGCGATTGACCCTAGCGACACAATTACAAAGCAAAATGAAACAACAAACAGAATTTAAAACCTGGAGCATTATTGACTTTCTTTATACATACAAAATGGTAAGATTAATGCTTCACTAGTTATTTGTAAATATTTCTTTCATAAAAGCTCATCTGAAAGTTTCAGAGCTATAAAACTTGCTTCTGTGTAACAGTTTCTATATACTCTCTTGTGATTTAAAAAGGAAAGACTTGAGTCCTAGCCCAGGTCCGGTGAGTGTGCGGAGAGTTTCCTGCTACCCTGCACCGGCGGGACCAGTCCCAGCCCAGGCGCAGCTTGGGCCGGACCCTCTCCCAG